TTACTCAGCAACGGAAAAAAATTAACTGATGTAGATAGTGGTAACAATTTTGTTATACAAACTAGGCTAAATTTAAATTTAGTACTGTAAATCTGCGTTTTCAGTTGTGAAAATAATATAACAGAAGTAAACTTAATACAGAATGTTTCCTTGACTACAAATGATAATGGAATAATAAGGTTGAAATAAATTAAAATTAGAAAATGTTTAGTGCAAAGAGTAAGTACAACAAAATTTATGAGCGATAGGGTGTAATATCGTCTTAAATGTTACGTATATTTATGTTACCGACACCATGTTGTCCTCACTCATATTAATATTATTGCCAAAAGGTTGGGTGACTCTATTCTTCACTTACACGTACATATCTATTAATAGTTGCAAATAAAGAAATATGTGCTCCCGAGGAAGCCGAGGGACGACTGTGGCGTCACATAGGTACGGCGGCAATGTATGAATTTACCGAATCAACATTTAAATTACTTGGAATAACCTATATGACGCTACAAGAGAAACTAAACATCACCTATCGATAGAGCACTCTCACTATAGCAACAACATTGGTTCGTTGAAGCTTCAAATGGAATACAAACAATATGATCCAGTTGAACGATACAAACAATTTCCATACGTTCCGTTTGCATTTCTTGAAATAATATTTCCGTTTTACTGTGTATTTTGTAGTAAAATTGTTTTAGGCAATTTCTTTCATCTGTATTTGAATTCATCTGCATCTGCATACTGTTAAAAATACAACCTTAAACAGCGGATTTATCACAATTTATTTTTGTGGGTATCATAGAAATAGAGATTCAATCAAATGAAACCTATATTAAAAGGTAACTGTTGAAATGTACGAGTATTTGATCTCTTTGGCCGAGTGGCTCGCATTCATGATGCAAGATATCGCCATCTCTGAGGACAGTTTTATTCCCACAGGCCTGCATTTTCGATTAATTTTCTGTTTATTTCTCATTAGATTCAATCAAAGAGCTTTTTAGCTTTTTAAAGAAGATTTTTTTTAATCAAATGTCTCAATTTTACTCAATATTTGTATGTTTATTATTTAGTGATCTAGTAACGAGAATTATCAGAGAATTGAAGTTGAAACGCTGTTTTCTTTTTATTTAATTACGTTAACATTAGCAGAATTACTCGTACCTTCCAAGCTTACTCATGGCTCAGTTACACTTGTAGACGGCGTTCATACGCGGAGCGCGGGCGGCCTCTGCAGTCTCATCTCATTGGTCAATAAATCACTGAATGCGAGAAATTGAAATGGCTCACACGCCTCACACAAATGTCATCGACCAGTGTAAATACACCACAAAAAAATTCATTGTATTAACGCATACAATAAAATAGAACAATGTGTGTAATTTGTTACGATCATTAGTCCCAGGCTATTCGGTTTTTCGAGTAGTCATTGACCTTTCTTCGTGAGAGTAATTTTCGCAATATCTTTCTGGTATATGTATTTTGTATCATTTTATTCTAATCTGAAACATTAACACCATAAACCATCTTAAAGCTTTAATGACGATTTTAATGTAAGCTCTAATTAACGTTTTAAATTTGGTGTTGGTAGGCTAACTTATTATAATCTAAAGCCGAATTCACACCACGAATGTAGTGGCATGAACGTTGTTTCATTACATTAATTTCGCTAGCAGTTTCAGGTTTAAGCGACCACTTTCATAATACTTGCATTCTTTTCACGGCACTCAAGTAGTTTCGTGCGATGCGCATATTTTTGAAAAAACTAATTTCACCTTGTCAGTCAAACTAATCTATAAACTTACAACAAACTTGGCGTAGTGTCGTGACACCATCATATAGTAAAATTTAGACTTGTAGACGGCTTGTCATAATTTCAGAATTCCATAATGCAAACAGTGACTTAAGAGATATTGTTGATTTAACCACATTAGAAAAGTACTTTACAACTACTACTGTACAACTTCTTTCGTAATGAAAGTTCGGCTTAAGTAATATTGTTTCGATATTTGGATAGATAGTTACGATTGCGACATTTCAATGCTTGTTTCAAGTTTTAGCCATCTCAGAGTCAGTCGAGCGAGCCGACCAGTAAATGGGTGGATAATGGTGGAACATGTTTTTCTTTCTATATTGTCTCGTGTATGGATGTTATGGCATCTTCATAATTTCAGAATTCCATAATGCAAGGAGTTTGGCTACTTGTTTCCGATCTGAACAATGTCTATGATGTAAAATAATCATTATTATTATAAGCCTATCAATGTCAATGTCAGGCCTTCCCTATGGATCAAATCGAATATGGAGAATGGGCCATGACTAGTCTTGCCATACATCCCGTATTTCAGGTATAAATTCAAATATCCCGGTACCGACTTTGTCCCATATATCAATTAGATTTCACAAATGCTTTAAAAGAGAACTAATGTACGAATCAAATGTCCCCTAACTTACAAATAAAGTGAACTTATAACCATATTTAACTTTGATTATAATACGTATGACGACAAATTTTTGTTTTGTTCCGTCAGGAAGATTGCTCAAAAATATTTAAACGTGTATTTTTTATTTTTTCGTAATCATGGAATTACGGCGATACATTGAGTTATAATGTCAGATCGCGTCACGCATTTCCACATTTTGACTGTGACGTAGCGAGGCCCCATTTCAATTTTGATGCCTGTTACATAAGCTATTTCTTGTTAAATTGAAGTAAAAAAAAATATGTATCTAATATTTTTTCTATTACCTGACTGACGGATAAAATAGAATATCTTTTGTTTATCCAGTCCTCATCCCTATTGTAGATGTTTTTAAATAAGTCACAGGTAACAAAAATATGTTAAAACTAGCTTTTGCCCGCGACTTTGTCCGCGTGGTAAAGTTACTTTGAGCAGCATTTCTAACGAATATTTATTGATTATAACGTATATAATACCTGAAATAAAGTTTTATCCCCTTAGCGGTGGAATTTGTCCCTTACTGACTGGAAATAATCTAGCAACCCTAGCCATGCGACTGCAGATGCAACAGGGACCAATGACTTGACGTGCCTTCCGAAGAACGGAGGGTCTCGAGATAATAAACTTTGGTCACCCATCCTATGGCCAGCCCTTGCGAAAGTTGCTTAATTTTCACATCGCAAACCGATTGCGCTAATTACTGCTCCATCGACGTCCTCATACTAACCTATTATTAATTAAATTGTACCCAGTGACTACTTTAATGTACATATTTTGTTTCCAGTCATTCACTCGATGATAATTGTTTACATATATCATAATGTATTATAAGGTAACAAAAGGATATTCCAAGCAAGATTTATCATAATTATTTGTATCTCACCCGCTTTGATTGTTTCGCGGCTGTACATTACATAGTATATTAATTTCAAATGTATAATTTATTTTAAGTGTAACCGAGAGTATTTACAAACGTACAGTATTAACACCCTTTGAAAACATCGAGGTTATGAGTTAGTTACATTAATTGTAGGGGACCTATTGTTTCTGTTGTCTTTGATATGGATTTTTTATTTCAAATTAATAGAGTAGTAGGCCTTATGAAACGGCCAGTTTCGGATTTGAGAAAAATACAAAATCTCAACTGATTATTCTCAATAACTTAAGTTTCACAAAGGCAAAAAGTCCTAGTTTTATCAAATTGCAATCAACTGATAATTTAAAAATATAAAATCAGAAAAGAAAACCTGTTTAACTGACGTTTAAGTCCATTTTGAGACGTGCTTTATTTTTAATTCTCAATTCAGAAACCGGGTGTTAATCTACATTAATTTATTTAAAATAGAAATTTCAATGTCGTTTATGAATTCTATGCAGTTAACACATATCGTATGTTCATAATCTAGTTAGGGCATGACACAAAAAATAATAGGTATTAAAGGAAATAATAAGGAATAAAATACGACAACCATAAGACAAACTTAAATAGTCGAAAACCATAGTCTGAGTAGGTAATTAATATCTCAGACGATATAAGAGGTAGAGCCAAGAAAAACGTGGATCACTTTGAGTTTATTAATCACAGGTACCTAGTCAGCTAATTTATGAGAAACTAACAAATCGTCTATTTTTTTTATATACAAATAAATATTCGTACTACTCTGCAAATATTCAGTTAAGAAAATGTTTGTCTTTATTGATGGTTATTAGGCTGCCTTGCCCTCCCTGAACTCGACAGTAACACAAATAGACGAATTAGTTCTGACTATTATTTCAGGATATAATAAATTCTTATTAGATGTAACGTTTTAGCGCCTGTTTATTTTTTATATAAAATGAAAATAAAACAGTATTAGATATTCCTTTTTACTAATGCCCTTATATTTTCTTGCTTTAAAATAAAACCAAACGAATACCGATAAGAATCTCTACACAGTATGCAAACTTCGTGTCAGTCGGAACGGTCGCAACAACAATGTAGCTTGAATAAGGGTGCCGGTATAGATAAGAAAGGTAGGCGTCTATTCACATGCATTATGCTAAACACATGCGATATGCCTTTGTTTATGCCCGCCATTTTGATAAAGACGACGCTAGAGCGATTAGAAAACTTTGACTTTAGCCCCTCGACTAACACACACGATTCAGTACGTCAACTCAAGATTTACGAATCCACGTCCTCGCACGTCACTCAAAACTTTTACTGTAAACTTCACCACGCTCACGAACTTCGCAAAGGACGGCGGAGACTGTATCGTGCGGGTTATTTTTACCTCAAAAGTAAACCCAAACCGTATCGTGCCTGATTTATGGTGGCCTCGTAAACGCAGCGCTCCAACATGATTCACGATAGCGCAGAAAGCTTTTAACGATCATGATCCTAACCGTGTTTTTCGATCTGCGTCTCTGGTCTTCCGCTTACGCAGAAATCCAGAATCGACACTTAAAAACTCATCGCACAGCGGCCACCCGCCGCGGACCGCTGCCAAGTTTCACCGAAAAAGTTTCACAAATATCGGAGGTGAATGAACGTGAACTGACCTCCTTTCTGGGTGATGTTGAAGGTGCGAAGTCGGTATGAATCCTCGTCGGGCTCTTCTTCTGGCTGGTGCGTTGTACGGGGTACATCGAGGAATGCGTTGGAGCGGCGAGGCTGGTTGTGTTGGCCGGGAGGAGGCCGGCGGCGGGCGGAGGCCTGCCTCCTGACTTGCGGAGGGGTCTCCGCCTCTGCGAGCCTCGGCTCCGAGCTGTAGCGGGCTCTGGTCTCCCTGTCGAGTTGTTGCTGCTGCTGCTGTTGCCGTCTCTGGCGAACAGACCGACCGCCTGTTATCCGCGCGGACTGCGAGCGTGTCGCTGGGCGACGTCGCGGCGCCGGCGTCGTCTCCATGGGCGCCGCGAGCGCCTCCATACTCGCGGAAGCCGGCGCGCATATCGACTGCGAACGCTTCGTACGTCCGTTCGTGGCCATCGTCGCGGCGGTACTGCCGCGCCCGCCCGCCCCTCGCTCGCAGGGCGGGCGGTTACTTGTTGCACCAAGATCGCTGCTCTTTTAAATGTCACTAATTTGTGCCCCTTTATAAATGGATAACGGTATAGCGTTTGAACGAATTGGGCGGGCGGGCTTATTAGTTTATTACCTTTTTCATCCTTACCAGTTGTAGCATAATTTTATTGTAGTACTGATAATAAATATTAGCTAGAGTTGTACGAGTTTTACAAATACCATTTCATTTATTTTTTCTCTATAAAAAAAGAACCCCCTATTCAAATATCCATAACTCAATACTTGTTGATGGTTAGAGTAATAAAATATGTTGTGCGAAGAATTTAAAATATTTGCAATGAAGAAACCTCTCACACTCAAAAATTTGATATTGTATCAGAAAATACCTAAGAACTTAACATGGATAGATTAATTATTAAAAACTGTGGCAAGAAGTATTGTAAAACCATATTATTTTGTAACGTTTGCAAAACTGGTTTACCTTTCTACTTATTAAAGAAAGTATATTTTATTTATAACAAGTTAACATTTTCAAAAAAAAGTGTTGTATTTATTTTTATGCCATTTGATTTGACTAACGAAAATTTCGGAATAACTCAAGTAAATCAAAACAAAACAATATTCATTACAGACGAACGTCACAAGAAGCACAATGAGGAAGTATTTAAAAAAAAAGAAAGCATTAAAAAAGCACCTCACTATATGGCGACTCTAGCTAAATTTGATTTTTGCAGGAACCGAATGGACCAAAGATAGTTATTTCCGTTCCATTTAAGTAACATATTAAAAGACTGAAAATTGCAAAGTTCGAAACTTAGATAACAATACAAATACGAAAAATTACTAATAGAATATGAGTTGTTTATTGAGTTTTGAAAATAAATTTACTTTTATACATGAAAAAAAAAGGAAAGGTTGTCATGGAGAAATCAAAAAAGTACCGTAGCTACATCTAGTTTGATTTCGGTAACTAATGTCTTTTCTTTTTTTTTTTCTTCTTCTTTAATACGTCCTCATTGTACCACAATTTATACCAAATTAATGCATTGGTGAAATTGTCACATAACTGGTGACAATTTCAGCCATTAGTCTGTTTATATAAAAATAACATACATCGTCGTCACACATACAACCTCTTCCTTTTCGATTTTGAAGTCAATTAAAAAGTAATTGATAATCATACTCTTGGTTGATTTCTCAATTTTTATTTTATACCTGTCACCACATCTTAGGGGCAGTAGTAATTTCCTTAATACAATTATAATAGAGTTCTTATTGCCACGACTGCTGTTTTAAAAGGGTATAATGAATTTTTACAGGCGATAGAGCTTTCTAATTATGAATTTCTTTTTTTTTTCTGATAACAATTTACTGATAGCTGAATCAAATACAGTTATAAATCGATCGATTACGAATGAATGCATAAAGTCTCGTTGCTTGTTACGTAAAAATGATCAGTGGCCTAATTATCTAATTTTAAATTTTTTTACAATCACTTTGAACTTGACATTTGAAAGATATTCAATAATTTCACTCTATAACTAGAAACTATATTAAAAAAAAAAATTTGAAACTAGAAAATTATTGAACGACCGATAACTTTTATTTAACGTTGATCAGAATTGTCTAAGCAAGGTGATATTCACAGATATCTTTAAACGCCATTTGAAACGAAATAAATTATCTATAACATTTATATCATTAAAATCACCAGTGATTGTGATGGTAAAATTTACACGAATCCATAAATCACTATCACAACGGCTTGTGATAGATTTTAAATTACACGATTAACCAAATGAAATCAATTATAAGTGATATACTATACGTTTCATCATCATCGTCATCATCACCAGCCCTTTTCGTCCCTACTGCAGGGGCTCAGGCCTTCTTTATGGATGTTTAAGGACCCATGACCCTCCACGCTGGCCCAATACAGATTGGAGGGTATTAACGACTGCAAATACAGCCGGGACCAACGGCTAAACGTGCCTTCCGAAGCACGGAGTAGCTCGAGATAATAGTTTTTTGGTCACCCATCCCGTGACCGACCCTTGCGAAAGTTGCTTAACGACTACGATCGCGGGCCGCGGCGCTTATCCTCTACGCCACCGAGCTACTACTTTGACTATATGCTTAAATAAATAAAAATTAGACAACATCACAAACGTTACTTAGATCCCAAATTAAGTATCTAAAAAACCAAGTACCAATGAAACAATTCATTTTCTAAATTGACCCTTCCAGGAATCGAACCCAGAATCTCGGATACAAAGTATTATCAAATTATATTAATTAAATACGAACACAAATACCACAGCTCTTTGGTACACACTCAAATTTTCACAATAGAATTTAAACTGATGAATGAGTACTAAACAAATCAATCAAAACCCGCGTGGTCTTGTATTATACATAAAAACCTTCCTTTTGAATCATCCTATCTATGAATAAAAACCGCATCAAAATCCGTTGCGTATTTTTAAAGATTTAAGCATACATAGGGACAGAGAAAGCGACTTTATTTTATACTATGTAGTAATTTTCAACAAATAAAGAGTAAGCTCTAAAGACCCTTCTACTAAAAATCAAAAGACAAGAAAATATCTCATATGAAATTAGAAAATAAAATCGAAAATTCTATCCCTGAATTTGTATTAGATATTTAAAAGCGAAATATAAATCAATTTAAATCTTCTCCTATTGCTTCATTAATAGGACCGAGTCTCTTGCCAAATGCCATGTTTTCTAAAAGTTTATTAGTAAATGTGTAAAGTAGATAACATTTTCTATATGACACGTTGCATCGTAAATCGGCTTTATGTTTCGGCAATAAAGTTGATTTTGCAACAGTAATATTGATAATATGTTCTATATTTCAATACGTTAGTGAAATGGCAAAATGTCTCTAGAATGTATTTCCTTACGCAAAGTTTCAATCTAATTTTAGCTCACACAACACAGTTTTTGTTAAATTATCTCATCATCACCAGCCCTTTTACGTCCCCACTGCAGGGGCTCAGGCCTTCCTTATGGATGGTTAAAGAGGATGGGCCATGACCCTCCACGCTGGCCCAATGCGGATTGGAGGGTATTAACGACTGCTAATGCATCCGGGACCAACGGCTTAACGTGCCTCCGAAGCACGGAGTAGCTCGAGATAATAATTTTTGGGTCACCCATCCCGTGACCGACCCTTGCGAAAGTTGCTTAAAGACTACGATCGCGGGCCGCGGCGCTTATCCACAACGCCACCGAGCTACTCTTAACCGTAAAATTATCTATACTAATATTATAAAGAGGAAAGATTTCATTGTTTGTTAGTTTGCATTGAATAGGATGCTCAACTACTGGGCTCATGCTTACTGGACCAGTTATAAAAATATTCCATCTACTGGAAGGGAAGCTACACCATACGTGGGGTACATAGGCTATAATATTCGTGGGCGAAGTTGCGGAGAAACAGCTAGTTCAAATAATACATTAAATTAATATTTTACTAAACCCCCTACACAAAAAATTAAGTACGTCGAGTACAAGAAAAATCTAAGTACCGAAGTACGTCGGGGGAGGTATTAAATTGGGTTTGGAACGGTCCCCCAAAGCCATGTATATTTTTTTAATTATTAATACATATTTAGGTACTTTAATATTGGGTTAATTTTATTATTTTTTTCTTTTTAAAGAGAACTTTGGTTTTTATGTCGGGATTTTTTAAATTTAATTTTATACTTTTTATAATGTAGATTCATGTCCAAAATTTTGAAGTAAAGATTACATTTAAGAGCAAGTTTATTCGCTTTCATTTTACTTATTAATTACTAGTTTTTCATTCTATAACTAATGATTGTTACTTCATAATTATATTAATCTTCAACTCTTTAATATAATAATTTTCTCATAAGCCGAAGCCAAGAACACTCGCACATAAATCACCTTTAATACAAAAAAAAACTAAATTAAAATCGCTTCATCCGTTCGGACACACGGACACGGCAAACTTATAAAACCTCTCTTTTTGCATCGGGGTTAATAAACTGATATATAATAATAAATAACAACAAGAAACGCTTTGAAAATAAATTCAAGAACTTTGAAGTTGGATGGGATTCTGATCATAACAACTTTTATTCGTCTATATATATTTTTTTATTTTGGACAATGTATAGCGTTACATTGATGGAAACTTCTTAATAACTTGTTGGTAAATATTCCGAGTAATATATCGTTTATGTCGGGCTTAACTACTAACACATATTCATGCACTGTGACTGCACGATACGACCGGTGTGTATTTTATATAATCACCAATTGGTACGTGAATTTGTAGATTGATTGTAGAACATTATTTCTTTTTATTCGATGGCTGGTGGGCACGAGCTAGTCCCATGAATTTTTGATCGATCTCGATTTTGCAGTTTTGATTTTAAAACAAATTAAAGGGAAGTTTGGCAGATAACAAATATACTTAACGACATAATAGTTATGTCATCGTAGAATTTTTTTTTTATCCTATTAGGGTACAGTAGTGGCGGAAACTCGGGGCGGCAATAAGCCCAGGGTCGACAAATTGCGTTTACAACCGCCACTGTATCATAATTTTTATAATGTTATCAAATTTTTGTAGGCATATCACCAAAAAACATAAATATTCAGGACTTCAAATATGACTATAATATGTTCATGAAACTGCTATAGAAATCGGGCGTAAAACTACCTTTGCAAACCACTGCCCGACTTACAAAAATGATAAATATTAGATTTCACGATTATAATGTCTATTTCCTTTTTTTGTACTTATTTATGTATGTTGTTTCCATTAATTATACGATTTAGCAGCTCTTACTAACACAATCGTACATAGGTATGTTGCAATCTGACAAGCGAACTCAAAGGGTAGTCTTTGTCGGCAACGACTGTCCTGTGGCTGGACTGGATTATTTTGATTGACGGGACAAGGAACGTTATAATTACCTATCGCTAATAGATTTTAACGTTAGAGGCTGATGATGAGTATTTTATTAATCAAAATTATCTCATACTACGTCACCATTCGTAAACAGTGTGTGTTCACCTACACCCGAAAAATGTATGAATTTTTATCGTTAAAATTTGACGTCAAACATGTCGATAAAGTATCGAAAAACCAACTTATTTCTCTTAGAAATACTTACTGTGAAAACAAAAACTGTCTCAGTCAACAGTTATTTGACTTAAACAAATCACATTTTGTCGACACAGAGGATTCTCCTCCGCTAATCAGGTCGAAGGACGGACCCACTAAAAACCCAGTGTGGTTTTTCCCACCTCACGGATGAGAAAGGTACAGGATACGGCTATCCTAGATGTATATTCTAGCTATTTATTTACCTTTGTACTTTTTTATTACTACGGCTAACTCTAAATCTTAATCCAACACGACGACGGGACGAGCTTACCTAAAAGGAGCCTGTTTACTCTCGCCTTAAATTCTCTCGCGAATTTGAACGCGACAGGGAATTCCATTCCATGTCATTGCACAGAATAAAATATGATGAGACTTTTAAATAAGCTTGCTTCTTTCTAAAAGTAGTCTAAAAATTCTAGAATATCCGTTTCGCCTGTATGAAATATAATTGTCGAATAATATAATTTGTTATATTTTTAAGCTATATAATAAAATTAAGATTGTTATGAAATAAAGGACTTTTATCTCACGTGGTGACGAACTAGCAATGGAAATATTGGCATATATAATTATTTATTGTCAGTTTATATGATGATTAGAAATCGATGGACAAGGTGACAAGGTGAACTTCACAAACAACCCTAGAGGCAACAAAAAGCAAGAAAACAATGAAAATGTCAAACGAAAAAGTTGTAAAACTAAAATTGATAATGTTTAAATAAAATTATTACAATCAAAATGTATCATCTCACTAGCCACAGGTTTTTGTTGGACCTGTTGGACTAGCGGTCATTACCATCTCGATCGCGATTATAGAGCGAACAAATGTTTAGACACGACATTATGATATATAAATTTTTATTAACGGTCAATTTAAAAGACGCTATTATTGCTGATTTCTTATATTGTTCCATTAAAAAATTGCGAAGAAAAGTAAAAAATTTAAAAATATTATATTTCTCACCGAGATGGTGTTTGAATTTATGTTTAATTAATTTGCATAGTGTACCCCCAATGTTGCATTTTCTTTCCTTATTTCAATTCCACTGTAGCATTATAAAACATATATTCCTTAATTAGCTAGCTGATCGAATTTCAAAATTTTAGGCAAACAACTGCAGTCTCATCTCCCAGTCCTCTTTGTACCCACACTGTAGGGTTTTTGTGGGTAGTCTTCCTCGCCAGTCTCAGAGGGTTCGAATTGGCAAATACTTCCGTTGGTTGGACTCGCGGAAGACAATCCCAAATAATTTCGTTGGTCATCAGGCGCCGAGGTTATACTCAAAGCATATTCTCTAAAATAAAATATAAAACAATAGTCGTCACAGCATGGCCGCGCGGACTGAATTATTTTTTACTTAAAATTATATTTGTAAATTTAATATTCAGAGGCTTTGAAAAGATATTACTCATACCTTTTTACTCAAAACAATCGTTGATAATAATTATCTCATTCATTTTACTTTTTCTGAGATTTTTTGAGTTCTGAGGCCGCTAAAGCCCTATCGATTTACCGGTAAGGGAAATGATTATCCTAACTTACCCGTGATTAATGGTCATCATTAGTTTCACCAACGTATCGTACCAAAGTAACGCACAAGAAGTGCCCTTTCCATTTCCGACATACCGATTCATTCACAAACGAAACGGACTCAATTTATACTTTGTCTTCGTCTATCGTTAAACGAATAACGATGATGCATAGGATATAGCGCGAATTCATCGTTATTAAGTGTCAGCTATTTGTTTTCACTTTTACGGTTTGTCTCTGTTTCCACTTCCAATTTCAGATATTCCCTAGATTTAACACTCCGTATGAAAATGAAATAATAATGAAAAATGTTCTTATTCAAATTTAAATAAGAGGAACAAGCGAATTAAACTTACAAGCTTTTTGTGATTACCAAAATAATACTTATTACAATAATAATATAAACAATTATCAATGTCTGTACAAAACAAAGTGTAAAGGCCAATAATTCCATACATTAGGGTCCTTATACATTGGGGTCTTCAAAATAACCATCGACTTTATATTGTTATTTACTTAATTACATTAACATTAGCAGTGTGTCCTGTGTTAGTAATTGTGGATTTTATTATTTAAATTTCCACTTTGAAATAAAAGGAATAAAAACGCGAAGTTATAAAAAAACGTACCTACATTTGCGATTTTAACATATTATACTCGTGATAATAGATAATTGTTTATTTATGAAACAAATTGCCGTCTTTAAAAATTCCAGATGCCGTTTCTATTATTTTCCTTGTACGATACGGATGCGTAAGCGCAAGAAGACCTTACAAAAGAATCGGTAATCAGTCTGCCCGCGACCGTTAATAAGAGCAGACGTCATGACCAGCAAAATAATATGCTTACTTACCTTCATCACTTGGTGCGCTTCCCAAAGACCGGGTCAATACAAGGTCCCGCCTGCGAAACTTGAAGCTATATGGCCAAAAGGACTCAGAGTTTCCATTCCAGGTAAGTCTACACTAATCATACATTTTTCTATCTTCTCTTTGTGACTAATATCAGTAAGAAACGAAATAAACAAAAACAATATTGATAAAGACATCATTAATCGTAAAATAATTTGCTGCAATAATACAATTTTAATAACGGGTTTTATTTATTTTTTCTTGAAAGATTCTCTGCGAGTCTTTAAAAATTATTATTATTATTGAAGTTTCCTTATCTAACATAGTATCTATCGATTCTTTGACCTCCCATCACTAAGTTGTTGATTGAGAAATAATAAATGAAGAGTTAGTTGATTAAATCTGCAACAAAAATTTTATACCATCTAATCTACATATCTTACATCTTTATATATAAATAGAACATAAAAATTAACAGTCGTTATCACTAAACCCACCAATACGCAATGGGTTCGAGTGACTATTTATATTTTTTCTATCCGTAAATACCCACACCAATAGTGGGAGTAATAAGTAATGAGCTTAAATTATAATTGTGATAATGATTAATTTAAAAAAACATAACGCATTCTCGGTCAACCTTATAGATTATATGCAATATACATTCTGTGCGTATTTTCATTCCCTGACATTTAAAACTAATAAAATATTAATAGCAGCTCTAAACTCCCAACGGAAATCAACATTATGCAGAGACATATAAAATACTTGTCTACAATCCAATCTAATATTTGGTACGCATTTTTATGAATAATAAGTTGCAATCGTAGTTTTTCCGTAATTTTTTCCTGTTCATGTTATTGCTTTTGTTAATGTGTCTCGGGTACAAGATTAAAAGTACATAAGTGTATCTACATGATAAAGTTTATATATAAACACATAACAGTATTTTATGTCTTGTATATTATTTCTCTTAGAAGAGTAAGAGTATTTCATACTATGAGCATTTATTACAAGTCGTGAATGTGAGAGTTTAATGACAGGATGAAGACCGGAAAAAAGATGGAAATAGATTGTGTAATAGGAATAGTTATTGAGTGAACGGGTATAACGGGTAAGTGCATGAAGAAGAATACACATTGATAGAACCCGATCAATGGGAAGCAAACCAGGCATTGCCCAGACAGAGTGGCAAAAATGGAAGGCTTCTGAGTGAGGTGCCGGACGGCAGACGGAGTCTTCAATTTTCTTTCTTAAGAGAAAAATATCAAAAAAATTACAATGGTTATATATATTCTATAAAACGGCTTGGTGATATGTGTTTTATAATATCAAATCTTTTGGATCCATCGTAATTGCACATATCCTCTTTTCGTATCGTCCACAGTCGAAATTGTAAACACTACGTCAAGCCTTTTTCGTGCTTTTTTTTCTTTTTTGTGATGTATTTTCTTCATTTTGGCAGATACAACCGTTTTCATGTTTTAATAGGTTTATGCAAATTCTATATACAATAAAAAACTAGATCTGCCTTCTAGTACGAATATATTTGTTTTTTTTTTTTACTAAGCAATATTTTTATTAGATTGCAGCAAATTATCGATGAGGTTAATAACTAGATATACAATTCCATACAATAGACGCGTCATATGTTTAATACATAAGAAAATTAGTAGAACTAATTTAAAATATGGGTGCATAAAATATTTACAAAACGAATTTCACAATTTTGTTAAAAGATTACGTGAATATAAATAGGTATATTCTATTCAGAATAGCGTTAACATCACTAACCTAGAACAAGGCATAGCTCAACTAGGAAAGGCGTAATATTACGAATCGCTTAAGCAGATTAGTTTAATTCCAAGTAAATTTTTTTCTTTTATCTCTTGACATGTTTATAACCTGTCATATACGCAAACGCCTAGCGCAAGGCAAGTTATAAATTTAGATATTGCTTAATGTCGTTAGGTGGTTCCTAGTTAATGGTGACATTAATTTACACCTTAGGCGATTCCTTAATATTTAGGCGACAGATTCGGGATACTCCTAAGTTTAGTGAAAACCGGCATGTGTTTTAATTTCATTACAACACAGTAAGTATGTGTTTTAATTTTATTGCAATATATGTATCTTACAACAAAATTTAGTAAAAAAGCAGTTATCCTGTATCGATTAAGCTCAAACTTAACACAAATATTTAGTTAAGATGGTGGATGGATGGATGGATGAATGCATAGTTAGCTAAGTTATTTTGAATCGGATATGGGGAACGCCCGAAACTCGGTTTGATATTATATCGATCACGAGAGTATACAAAAAAAATATTATTTTAAAAAGATATTAAAATATTAACACTTCTAAGATATGATTATCAAATGGTTAGAAGGAAAATTTTATAATAATGAAATTTCTTAATTCTAAATCCAATATTGACCATTGATTTATCTTTAAACGTTCTCATAGCATGGATATCAAATGAAACTGTTTGCCGAAAATATCATGGTAAAAATCTGATTTAATTATATAGTTAATTCCAATATGGTGGATGCAGGCCGGCTTGTGAACAAAGACATAAAGTCCTAATGAATTTTTTTTTATATTGAGATCATTACATCGTATAATTTAAGCATGCTTATTTCGTCAGAACAAATTCCTCTTAATTTATGAGCATTGTTTTTAAACCTAAATATCAATATACCATTGTGTATATATATTGAAATATATATTTAAACTTTACATTTACCTGATGAATCAGGAAATGTTTTTATATTCTTTTTACAAAAAAACTCACCTCTAAAATTCAATTTGTCGTTTTAAGCTTTTATTCAATTTTTTCTCTAGATTATAGTCTTTTATTATATGATATTATTATATGATAATATTCTTATGATTTTGTTAAAATCATATTCTATCTATAAATTTTCATAAAATGCGATATTTTAAAAGAAATTTTCATAAATTTCTTTGAAGTCGTATTAGCATTTCCAATATAGTCGAAATTTAGTTTTTCTAGAAATAGAATAGGCTTTCAGGTGTTATATTAATTCATACAAATAATACTAATAATTATGTTATCTATCTTGCATTATTTACACAGGTTCCTTTTTACAGCCTAAAACTCTTAATTAATCCATTTCATCACAATTCACAATATTAGAATACGCGTACGTATAAAAACTACTAAAAAATTAATAACGTCAAAACAGTTAAGATTAACTAAGAGAGAGCACTGATTTATGTCATTAGTTGACAAAAAAAAGTATCGATGAGAAAGGTCAAAGACAGTTAAAACTGGCTAATACGATTAAAAAAAATATCCCCCATCTATGATTTGTTAATAATTAAGGACCATTAAATTAACTAAATTAGGGGCCATCACTGTAAAATAATGTTCGCTGTGTGTCATTTCTTATTATATGTTATTCATAAAAATCAAACGTAAACTGAGAGAACACGTCCACAATAATCTAAAATTTATAGATTATTTACTACTATTATCCTTTCAGGCTAATTTGTCATTGTAATTATATCCGCGTGTTATCGTGTCATGATATAAATCTATATCCAAATAAACAGTTTCCAAGGGATCACGCAGGCAAAGTGCTGGTGGAAAGCTAGTATTTATAAATTAGTGCCCATAACGCTAAAAAGCACTTTTTTTTTAAATACAGAACCGACTTCAAACTTCAAAAAAGTGATAAATAATACTTATCTCAAAAGCGACTTATTCAAGAAAATGCTATTGAAGTCTTAAGAATAGCTATTTATCGCTTTTTTTTAAGTGTGTAGTCGGTTCTATATTTTTTAGTTATAATTTAATGAATCTGATACATTAAGAATTAATTTATTCGCCATAATTATCATATTACATTCTTCTATACTCACTGTCTATCGGTGTAAGTAGATTCATACATCTCGTCACTAGTATCAAGTCATAAAGGTTCAACGAACTGTTATATTTTCTGTTTACAACAGTATCCAAAGCATACCCCGCGGAGACCAAATCAACTTTTTTCAATCAAACCTGTTACCAAACTGCTAAATGTATATGACATAAGTACCTAACTAAAAATAATAAAAAATACGTCTGGAAAATTTTGCATATGAATGAGGTACAGTCAGCTACACGTCCCAATATAGAAAATCGATACTTCACTTTTAAAAGACGAAAGTCGGTCCCCTCCCTAACTTTAACATTGCCTGGCGCAAAAAATATGGCGAAATGTGCGTAAAAACTATTTTAATTACTTTAATAAATATATATTAGACAACATCAAATACTCGTAAATTGCTTAGATTCCAAGAATATTGTGTAGTTTAAGACCTCATAGTATTTATGGAGTATCCTAGACAACGGGAATTGAACCCGGGACCTGAAACATGACATCTTGAAACCGGTGTGCCAACCACTCAGTCAAATATGATCATATTTCCCTAAAAGAGTAGAAATCGAAAATAAATTTTAAGTGTAATTTTATGATTTTTCTACAACGGAGTTTTATAAATTTACGTTTTGATAGTGACAAAACCAAAATATACCTTAATTTTCTCAACTTTAATGACAGTTTATTTGGATGTTCTCTCTTTGCATAATTCCAATTGAGATTTTTAATTTTTAGGGTCACACCTACTTAATTTATTGACGGTAGTTCGAAATCAACTACGAGACGGTATTGTGGGATAACCTGACGTGTTGCTATATGTACATTATTTTTCTTTTGATGCCCAAAACTCGTTCAACGTATATAGGTAGTATATGTTAAAATACCTATTAGCAAAAGAACATAAATTGTCTAATATATGTGAGTAGGTACAATTAATGTAGGTAGAATGATTTTAACATTATAAAAAACAGAAATTTTATATTTCAACTAGCTATTTTACCGCGACTTCGCCCGCGTAAATTATAACCTATGTCACCCGCGTATGTATAGCGTCCCGTAGTAACAAACGATCTATATTAGTACATATATAAATACTAGCTTTTGCCCGCGACTTCGTCCGCGTGGTATAGTTACTTTGAGCAGCATTTCTAAACCGAATATTTATTCATTATATCGTGAAAAATACCTGAAATAAAGTTTCATGATTTTATCTTTGACAATGATGAACTTCCGTACAAACTATTTATCACAATAATAGCAACTTATGTCCTATTTCAAGTCAACTCTGTTAGTGGGTTAGGCGCAGTGGCGGACTAAGTCTGTCGGGGGCCCGGGGCGGCATTAGGTCCGTACCTGCAACTTTTTACAACTGCTGCAGAAATTTGATTTTATGTTAACACCCCTGCTAAGACGCCTGCTAAGAAAGATAAGGCAGTACAACCCCAATTTATGATATGATTAAAGGAACTTTCAGCCATTTGGAGGCCCCCCAGGATAAGAGGCCCGGAGCGGACCGCCCCCTCCGCCCGCCCCGCGTTGCTGACATATACACAGACCTACTTTGGCGTGTACAATATTAATATGGAATAATTAAACAATTTTCCTTAACACTCACTACATCATCATATATTATATAATAATAAAAGATTACCAGGCAGTGACCGATTAAATAGACTAAGAAAAATATAAATCACAACTGCTTTTAAATTCACAGCTGTTAAATGGAAATTCAAAGTTTAAACTGTTAATATATAATGAATATGTCGTAGTCAACTGAGTAAAAGAGCCATCCAATTCGGCGGCTAGCCATAAAATAAAATAGCGTCAGTTATTTGCATGGCTAAACATCGATCAGCTAAACATCAATTCTAGTTCTATTTTAGCTGGAATTGTATCGTATGTTACTTAGTAGAATAGAAAAACCATTAAAAACTGTAGTTTTGTTCGGTTTCGATCCGATTTCGATTCGATTTAAACAAAATTTATTTAGTAGAATTGGCCCCCTGGTTTACTATCGAAGATCACGATACAAAACACACTTATTAATTAATAGCAAAATTTCCGCGATATTCGAATAAAATTACTTTGATGTTCAACTTCGAAGAAACTAAAAAAAAGCTTTATGTATTTATTTATTTAATTTAACAGCATCAGCTATACATGTAATTAACCGACTAATGTCCACACAAAACTTAATCGTATACGGTCAAAAATAAACGCCATCTAGTATCCCCATCATCGGCGCTTTTATATCGCCACTGCAGGAGCTCAGGCCTTCCATATGGATGGGCCATGACCCTCCACGCTGGCTCAACGCGGATTGAAGGACGATAGCAAATAGCCGGAACAAAAATAATAGGTCAAGGTTTCGCATAATGTGTTTTCCGAATCACGGAGAAGCTTGAAATATATTTTTTTTGGTTACCCATCCCGTGACCGACCCTTGAGAAAGTTGCTTAATAACAACTACGTCACCGAGCTACTCATCAGTACAGCAAAGCATAAATTCCTTACTAGATTTTATTTGAAAACTCAACCTTGACCAAAACATTGCGTTATTAAGCAACTTTCACAAGGGCCGGTCATAGGATAGGTGACCAAAAATTTATTCCTTCCTTTATTTCCTTCCTTTCCTATGCTTCCCGGCATCTGCAGTCGTTGACCTACAAAACAGCACTGGACCCACGTGATAGGTCATGGTTCATTCTCCTTATTCGAATTGATTTAATTCAATCCATAGGCCTGTGCCCAGCGGTAGGAACGTTAGACTGACGAAGTTGATAATAATACCTGATTATGAAATTCCCTATGTACCTACAAACAAAATTGCCATCAAAAACTATCACATTTTAATAGGTAAACCACACTAAGTTAATGTTGATAAGGAAAGATAAAGATATAAAGGTCTTTGTTTAAATGGTTTAAAGGATTTTGTATAGATATAATTCAATTTACTTTTTCTTCTAACAGATGATGGCTTCTCGTTATTCGCCTTCCACGGCAAACTGAACGAAGAAATGAATGGATTAGAAGCGGGACAATGGGCCAGGGATATCACCAAAGCGAAAGGAGGAAGGTGGACCTTCAAAGATGGGAATGCCAAGCTAAATATTGGGGACAAGATTTACTTCTGGACGTACGTCATCAAAGACGGTTTGGGTTACAGACAGGATGACGGGGAATGGACAGTCACTGGTAAGAATAACAAAATATATAAAGGTGCATTACCATTCACTCACGCCATGCTTTTTTGGGCAAGAGTGAGGAAATTGAAATCTTCGTGTACTAATACTGGATATATAATTTTACTCTGGAAGAAAAGAAATGGTTTTTTCTGCCATGCATGCATGCATAAATTAGAGTAGATATTTTTTTTATTTGCATAATTTTATACTCCTACGTTTGTGATATTTTAAATTACCTACCAGAAATATGTAGGTATGGTTAAACAATGAATCTAATAAAGAACAATGGTCAAACTGGACTACGAAAAAAAAAGTTCTTGTACCAAGATGGAACTATCACCAAAATGTAGTTTAAGTTGAATGTAATTATTATATACCAACAATTTATTTTTAAAAGCTGGGAAAAGAAAGATAATCCTCTCTAGTAAAGTATGTCATTATTTTTTAGAACGCAGTTTAAATTATGTTATTTTTAAACGCATCTTATTAATAATGTCATTCCTAGAGAAGTTCATCTCTTTTCAAAGAACAAGATCGATTTTATTTCTGACTAATCGAATTTGTTACAAATCTTATATTATTTACTAACCATATAAATACGTGAAAATTATAAAACTTAGATTAGATTACTAATATAATTAGATTTTACTTAGAGGAAAATAATTTATTTATAATGAACAAATGATTATTCATAAGAATCGATATTACAGTATTCAATCGATTGCGACCTCCCTTTTTTAGACAAATATGTGTAAACATGTTTCTACGCAGACCGTTTTGTAACTTTGGCGGTGATTTTGTATTATCTTCTGTATTATGGGGAGCATACTAGGTTCCCTGGGCAGTATAGAATTGAGGTCTGGAGAGAAATACTGGATTTTCTGGATTTATTAGAATTAGACTTAAATATAAATAAAGTCCTAATTATAAGGAGTAGAATTAAGTCGAGACATTGGGAGGAAACAATATTATGTGTACATTTTAAAGAATAATGACACATCCGGGTTAGATGGCATAAGAGAACACTGCTGTAATTGTCTTATTGGTCGATCTACACTGGGATGCTGTGCTCATATAATGACCATAGTTTGGTATCTTGGATGGGCCAGACACGAACAGAATGTAGCTGCTCCTGCAGCATTCCGTGATGAGGTATTCATTAGAGTTGTAATAAAGAAAAGAAAAATCAACATGTTGTTTTGCTATATCCTTTTGAAATTAGTATTTTCACTACTACTTTATATAAGTTATAGTGTAAGATAGAAAAGTAGAGTTATTGAGAGTAATCTTAAAAATTCTAGAAATTTTTTTGATGTTCATTGGTTCACAAAAAATGATTTTATTTCTTACAGTCAATAAAAATAATTTATCAGATATGGAGCAAGTTTGAAGTATTATGTGAAAGTATGCACTTCTAGGTAGTCCTAGATGAAATATGTAAAGCACATGTAAAGTCTGTCCTAGATTAAATATGTAAAGCACACGTCAGATAAAGTCTAATCCTAGTGGATTGTGTGCTTTACATATTTCATCTATAATACCTCTAACTCAAAATGCTACAGTTTAAATAATACCACATAACCTCAGAAACATATTATACAATTACTCGATACTCCCAGCTTTTAAAAATATATTTAATGTCTTTCTTTGTTCTAGTTACATAGGCAAACAAAATAACATATGTTTCATTAAGTTACGTTTTATTAGATTTTACTAGTCCAAGCATGTTAGGCAGTTGGTCATTGTTCTTTGGGCATAGATATTTCTCTTAAAAATGCTTCTCTTCTTCGTATCAAGATAATGAAAAGATTTTCCCGGTGAAGACTCATAGCTATATATGGAATCGTTTTTTTTTTGGAACGGCATATAAAGGGGTTTTTAAAAACAGAGGGTTGCACAGCATGTTCAAAGTTAAAAAGATCAGGTTAATATATCAAAAACATTTTTCTAGAATACGTGAACGAAGATGGCACTCCAGCGGACACCAGCAAAATCCCAACAGTAACTTCTAAACCCCCGGGGTCAGGAGTAACAGTTACCAGCAGGCCCCCGCCCACACCGCCACCACCCACCTGCCAAACCTCACAGACCATCGTCCAAGGCTTCAAGTCAGTCTGCACCGGCTCACTGATCTTTAGCGAGGAATTCGAAAAAGCCTCTTTGAAAGACTTGAGCAATTGGGATGCAGAGGTCAAATTCCCTGAACAACCGGTAAGTTGTTGTGAGATGGACATTTAATGTATTGTCAAAATCACGCCAGGTTACATAAATGTGTCAAATTTATCCACTTGACATAAACCTTAATGATTTGAGGGTAGAGTAAAAAATCAACTAGAGAAATTTGACATATTGTGATAACCTGACGTGCAGCCGTATGTACAATTGTAAAGTAAAGATGAACTTAAATGCTTGGTGGTTATCTTCTAATCATCTTTGGGGCCATTCATAAATTACGTCACACAAAATTCAGGATTTTACCCCACCCTCCTGTCACCTATTTATCTATATAAATTCCGCAAAATATTGTAATAACGTCACAGTTCATCGGACCAATGAAGTGTGACGTAATTTATGGATGACCCCTTTAGTGTGGAGACAAAATACCTAAACATCAGCCCAGTTAAATTTCATTCGTATTCATTATTTGTAATCCTAATACTCATTCAGCAAAAGCATCAGTAGAAAAGACTTTTTATCCGTAATTTCTTCGAAAAATTAAATCACAAATTGCTACTTTAATTTCCTAAAAATAATCTTCCAAAATTAGTTTTTCCTTTTCATGTCATTCAATCAATATACCACTATATGGTTTTACGTTGGATATAGGAGACTCACAAAAACATTCTTACTGCCAGGACTATCCTTTCAATGTATATATGACTGACGGAACCATCAAACTGGTAGACGGCAATCTGAACATAGTCCCTCTACTCTTGGATGAGCAAAAGCACGAAGGCAGTATTAATGAAAATTTGGACCTCAGCAACAGGTAACAATGTTATTTTCAGTGAATTTTTCACCACAAACACGTTTTTTAACATTTAAACACCCGCATGGGTATAGGCATCTAACCAAGCAGAATAGAAACTTTCCAACATACCGATTGTATAAAATATTTGATTCTTTTTCTAGAGACAATTTATAAAATATCGATCGAGACTAGAAATTTTCGACACCCATACTATAAACGGTTCTTCTTCTACAGATGCACCGGTCAGCTAGACACAACAGAGTGTGTTCGTCACGCATCAGGTGCACAAATTCTACCTCCCATCATGACAGGAAAAATCACAACAAAGAATAAGTTCAACTTCAAGTTCGGCAGGGTCGAAATCAGGGCGAAGCTACCGAATGGCGACTGGCTTATACCAGGTAAACACGAAAGGATTATATTCAGAGTAAAAGCATTAAGGTACTTCATATTTTTTTTGCAATTACACGCTGCAATATTTATGACAAAGAAATAAACCAAAAATACCAAAACACACAGCCTGATATGGCTCCAGGGTAAATGCGCTCCTAATTCCCAAGAAGTGTCTTAAAGTTTTTCAAATGTTTAATTAAGAACAGCTGCTTTATTCCTGGCTTGAACTCAGTATTTCTTATTAGGTATTATATAAATTTTAAATTGAGAGTATGTTTTGGATAAACAAGTGAAGATAGACAGTACCCGGTATTTCATAACTTGCTTTTGTCCAACAATATTTTATGCTATTATTGACCATCCCTAATATCAGGCCGCTCTAGGCCCGAGCCTACTATGGCCTTAGGGGAAATCCACCTCTGCTCATATGTTCATACAGTATCAAGTCAATTTATAATTTATTTTTTGCAGAGCTTAACTTAGAACCCAAAGACTATGTATATGGATCCCGCCGCTACGAGTCTGGACTTATGAGAGTGGCATTCGCCCGAGGGAACCCTTCAGAGTCTAAGACCCTGTGTGGAGGACCCCTGCTCACAGACTCCGAGCCTTACAGGTCCTACTTGATGAAACAGAAGATCGGAATCGACAATTGGAACAAAGAATTTCACAACTATACATTGGTTTGGAAACCGAGTAAGTTTAATGCAACTGATTATGATGAAGCTCTAAGTTAAGTCTTGAAAACAATTGACAAGTAGGTTTTGTACTCATGCATTATTAGAGTCTATAGCTACCTATATTAGGGTACCTGCTTTCGCTATTAAGGTCAATAAAAAACGGAATAGATTATGTGATATTATAAGTAGGTAATACTAAAGTACGTGAGGATCAGTGTAAATCTGATGGAAGATGTTTCACCGAATTCGACATTTCTGACGTTCCATCAGTAGATAAGACAGTATTACTAACGTACTACCGCAAAAATATCAGAAGAAATAGCAGTTTTATAGCTTTTATTTCAGGAAAGTACTTACTAACATTCTAGAGTATTTCATTGAACAGGCAGCTGGGTTTCTTCATCTTATTAAATCTCAAAAGTCTGATTCCTCAGTATCTTTAGATTTTTAGGGAAATATTTGAATTCCTTAGTAGGTAAGTATTAGTACGATAGCAAGCCGTGGTGATAGGCAACTTACTATCTTTCTCGCTTTAGCGAAAGGCTGTTCTGAGCAACAGAAAAGGATAGAGCAAAGCAGAAGGCGATAATGTCCTGCCCGAAGTTTTTCAACCCACTGTTGTTTGTTTATTGTCCTTTTTAGACGGCATTGACCTATTTGTGGACGGAGATTTGTACGGAAGCGTCAATCCTGGTACCGGTTTCTCTGCAAGTGGTAGGGAACACCTAGTTCCCCACGCCGGACTGTGGAACAAGGGGACTATTATGGCTCCTTTGGATGAAATGGTAAGATAATATCTTACAATATCTATACGTTTGCCATAACTTATAATAACCAATTAACTAAAGATTTAGGTTTACCTTAGACAAAGCAAAAGCAAAGGAAAAACAGATATAGTGGAGCTCGATATCGCAGTGGTTAGCGCGCTCGGTCTGTGATATAGTTTTTAAGAAACTTTCGCAATGGTCGGTCAAAGGATGGTTGACCACAATTTTTTTTTTTCAAAACGTTAAGTCGTCGATCCTGACTACGTCTGCAGTCGTTAAAACCCGCCAGCCGCATTGGGCCCAGCCCATAACCCATTCTCCCTATTTGATTTGATTCGCTTCCATCCATAGGGAAAGGCTGAGCCCCAGCAGTAGAGACATTAATAAGCTGGTGATGAAAAACAAACTTTGTGGAACTAAAAAAACTACTGCGTAAGAAAATTTTCTGGTGGTACAAATTTAGGAACCGTATGATTGAAGGTTCGGTCCTACAGTGATGATGGAGACAACTGGCCAGGGAGACTAAGGGATAATTTTCTCCCTCCGAGCTAGGTGTTGTTTAGCCCGGGGATCGCGGTCCAACCGATGTAGGTCTCTTTGTTCTAAATGTCTTGTAGTTATTAATTTATGATGTTTGTATTGGTACAGCGCCATCTCGTTACTTGCTGTTGAAACTTCTTGCAGTTCGTCTTGCTATGGATGGCTGTGACAATGCTAGTCTTCTCACTATCGATTTTTGTGGCGATATTAGTGCGATGAGTTAGATGTCGCTATGTATCAGTCGCCACAGTACTTTCCCCCTAGACCGAAGGTCGATCCATGTTGATAGTAGGTGGTATGCAGTCAGTGCTTCAGAGTTTGCAAGTGTCAGGTTGTGACGTCGGGACCGAAGCTGCTGGTGTGCAGGGCTGCCACGCCGGTGAGTTGTGTGTGAACTGAGGTCCGGTCGTGGGCTGCGAGGACTAGGTCGGGATGATGCCGTCGTGATGTACCAAGGATCCAGGAAGCGTCGTCGATGCTGCTGTGATGAACCTTGGTGTTGGCTGGCTTGCTGCTGTATCGGCTGTGCTGATGAGGGATGAGAGGCTGATGGTGAACTGTTGATGAAGAGTGATGGCTGCGTTGTGATGCTGAAGGTTGCTGATGTTCTGCTGGGGTCACCACTTTAGGAACCGTAATGGTTGCAATGTGTGGTCCCTGCTGTGGTGATGGAGACAACTGGCCAGGGAGACTAAAGGATAATTGTCTCTCTCCGAGCTAGGTGTTGTTTAGCCCGGGGACCGCGGTCCAACCGATGTAGGTAGAACGTTCTATTTATGTTAATTGGTAAAGAAACTTATTCTGTGCGATGTAGGTTTCTTTGTTCTAAATGTCTTGTAGTTATTAATTTATGATGTTTGTATTGGTACAGCGCCATCTCGTTACTTGCTGGTGAAACTTCTTGCAGTTCGTCTTGCTATCGATGGCTGTGACAATGCTAGTCTTCTCACTATCGATTGTTGTGGCGATGTTAGTGCGATGAGTTAGATGTCGCTATGTATCAGTCGCCACACAAACTAAGAAATATGATTAAGTATTTTTAGTACCCTTAGGCTGAATGTGAATGATGATCATATTGTGATCGCGATCATAAATAGGTCCAAAGATTTACTGTTAAGGTATATCAAATAAGTTTTCATTTAAAATTACATCTATAATATAAAAATGAATCGCAAAATGTGTTGGTAAGCGCATAACTCAACAACGCCTGGACCAATTTGGCCAATTCTTTTTTTAAATGTTCGTTGAAGTTCAAGGATGGTTTATACGGCGAGAAAAATTTGAATATATGCCGAAAAAACCGTAAAAACAGCCATTTTCTTTTTCTCATACAAACGTTTTCTAACTAAAACGTTGAGTCAATTTGAGCTCTATTACTATTGTATAAAGTTCATATTAAATTACAAGCACTCACTGTTATCTAAGCAATGTAGGTGTGTTCCTAACGTCAAAGAGTCAATTTGCACTTTATTACCGCTATACAAAGTTGAAATTCAATCATATCAATACAGTGTGCGTGTGTGCGTTGGAGCACAGAATACATCGTTGGAGGATTTAATGCCGCGTTCCGAAACTCAATTAAAGTAAATCATTAGTACTGATTTTCAATTTGGTCGGCTTTGCGATATTATTTCTTTTGTTTTACTTTCAGCACGCGACATAAAATGCATCAGTTTTCACGTCATGACATCAGTCAAACACAAACCGCGTTACCAAAAGTGTTTTATTATTTATTATTTTACACACATAAAAAATTGGTACGGCCTGAAGGATTTGATTCCAAGTCATATCAAATTTAAAAAAGTTGAAAATTGAAACAACAACAAATTGTCGTAGTTAGTTAAAAAAAAAAACTAAGAAAAATAAACTGTCGATGTCAATTTGCCGGTGTGGAAGTATTATTTTCTTGGATTTTCTGTTACTTATTCTACTGAGTTTGCTTTTGTCAACTGATACTGTCTAATACACGAAACAAATTCGTATATCGTGTTTTGTGCAGAGTGTTTAGTTACCTATGATCACTATTTATTATAATAATAATATTGCATGTGACACAATAATTTATATTTGATATGCCTCCTATTTTTTGCCCCGACTATAAAATAAGTAGGAACAAATAACTGCCACATTACAAATCTTTTTGACAGGACGAAATCTGTCGGGTCCGCTAGTTACTAATAAAATATTAGGAATTATTTCTCGTAAGTTACATCTTTGATCAAGACCAAAGTCCTTTTCGAGACAATTCAAACTCGATAGACCTGCTTTGTTCAAATACAGCGACTCATACAAGTTGCATATACTTGTGTACGCAAAATTTGCAACCATAATTGAAAATCAAGAAGCGAGCTCGCAACATTGGACTAAGCACATACAATCTATCACAACAAGGCAAATAAATGTAATCATGAGCTAAGCCCAGATCAGCAACTGTTTGAATTTACACCATTACACACATACACACCCACACTCTACAACGCCGCGCATACATTTTTAACTTTATATTATTATTATGATTTTGGCGAATGACTGCAGTCTATTTGGAGGTCCCCAGGACAGACGCTTTCGCCCCCCCCCCCCTCTCCTCCTCTCCTGCCACTTAGACCGCCACTGTAACGAGCCACATTCTTCCCTTCCTGCAGTTCTACGTCTCCCTTGGTTTGCGGGTGGGCGGCGTGCACGACTTCCCAGATACCCCGGACAAGCCCTGGAAGAACAGGAGCAGCAAGGCCATGCTCATGTTCTGGAACGCGCGCGCCACCTGGCAGCCTACGTGGTACGACGCCAACTTACAAGTAGACTATGTCAGGATCTACGCTCTATGATATTTGCTCTCTCGTCTGTGATTATTTTTAACTCAATAAATAGTAGAAAGCCAAGTGATTCTTTCATTTCGTTACAATCTTTAAAGTACAAGTGTACATGTTCCTTATTATGAACGACGTTAGCCTAATCTTCAGTTTAAACTAGATTGTTGAACCACAATGTACTGTAATGCCAGTAGCCGAGACAATCAAGTAAGCCTAGTCCAGTGAATGCCCTCATGTTAATGGACTATAAGCTATAAGTAATATATTCTTGATGAAAAATGCTTAAAAAATACACCTAACCAAGGTACTCTCGGGTGGAGTTTTTAAGCATTTTTCATGAAAAATGTTTTTCAGTTTAGCATTGTGAATGCAAATTTGTTCAAATATAACATATAACTTGGAAATCCAAGTAATTTGTCGCATGGTTAATCCTTACAGTTACACAGAACATACAATTAAAATTTATAATGAGTCTTGTTTTGATAGTCTAAGTATTCAATTACAACATACCAAGTGTAGGTCTCACTTAGAATATGCAGATGGCATGCTGTTAGAATCATTCCGATGGCCAGTATTGTTCGGCAACTCCTTGTATGAATCCTTGTTTTAGGTAATTTTAGGTAATTCATCCAAGGATTTTCCACAAAACATGACGAATACTCAAACTCAACCTATAGCAATACAGCATACTTAAAAATACAATAAATCAAATGCTTACTTTGTTACTAAAAATTATAATAGGATCAAACATTTCAAATATAAACAAGTAATCAAATTACAACTAACAGATACTATGGCTCATATTAATCAGGTTATTACTTTAGAGCCCTGCCTTTAGGTTTCAATCTGTTGTCGATGACTCTTTGCCTCTCTTCTGCAGCCATCTTCAACATCTTTTGATGCCGCTCTTTAGCGAAATCTAATTCTGAACATAACTCAACAATTTTTGAGGCATATTCTCTTTGTTTCAATATTCTTACTTTCTGCTTATTCTGTAAATAATGAGAAGAATAATTTTAGGTTACAATAGATTTGAAATAAATCTATTACTACTATTCTTCTATAATATATACTTATTTTAGATACAACTGTAAAAGACCCATGATGATATAAGTAGGTAAAAAAAAAAAATATATGAAGGAAATGAACATTCTCTGTATTCAAATTGGTAACATAACCACAACTTAAACAGTGTATTTATCCTTTAATCTTATTTACTACTACCTGCTTTTTCCATGATTTTGTGAGCATAACTTAGGCGCCTATTACACTACCCAATCTATCGGGCCCGATCCATCGGGTACACTGTAAATTGGGTAGTCTAATCGCAGTTAGAGAGTTAGGGTCCCGATAGCGGGTGAACGTGGGCGCCCGATAGCCCGATGAGAGTTAGGGCCAATTTATCGGGTAATGTGATCGCTGTTAGGGTGTTAGAGCGCTCAGTCGGTTGTTGCGCAGCGTGCGTGTGAGACGTCAGTGAACGACAACGAAATTTGCGAACAGACAAAAATGTCTTCTCAAAAGGAAAAGAAATAATATTAAGTGTAATTTAATATTATTACTTTTAATTATATTATATATCAATATGATATAATGTTTTAAACATTTCTAAATAGCCTTTGCAAGTGTCTGGTACAATTATAAATTTTATATAAATTACAATAATAAAAACGAATGCTACAATAAACTTTATATTATTGTTGTGCCCGATAGGGTCCATAGTGAGACTAACTTAATTATGTAATATTATTTTAAATTACCTATGGAAACAATAAACTTATTGAGTATTTATACTTTAAGCCATGATATGCATTTCCCGTTGCTAAAAATTTTAAGGTTACAGCACAGCTAACCGCTGTTTTGCGCTATATAAGGTATGACTAAGTTTAATATATGATCAAATTGTGCAGAACTCATTCGGTAGTAGTTCAAACTGCATAGTTGGTCATTTAGAAGCAAATATTTTTCACCCAACATTTTGTTTTATTATTTACGCCTGCAGTTAAAGTATACTTTAACTGCGGGCTAAGTACATAACTCAAACTGCATAGTTGGTCTCTTAGAAGCAAATATTTTTCACCCAACATTTTGTTTTATTATTTACGCCCGCAGTTAAAGTATGGGCTATGCCAATTTTTTGGTACTTAGTGAGCGGAGGAGCCATCCTTTCAACGCCACGTTTGCACGCCAACTGAGTTAGGGAGGCGATCTAGAGCAGTGTAATCACAACGACACCAACCGCCCTAAATCGCGGCCGATATATCGTGCCCGATAGATTGGGTAGTGTAATAGGCGCCTTAAAGACTATAGGTGAAATAATTTTTAAATAACTCTAGCAATTTTGGAGTCTATTCCATGCATACAAACTACCAAATCTTTCCTCTTTATATTAGTATAGATGAGTAAATACTGAACCATTTCAAAATTCATATACAAGAAAAGGTATAATATATGAAGAAGTAGGTTTTCTTAAAAATTGCTAAGATGGAGAACTTCCTACCACCCAATTTATAAAGGAAAACTAGTTTCTAATATTTCCTTTTTCAGTATATACTAATTAAATTTGCACATCAACTTTTTCTCTGTTTCCGGTTACTAATTTTACCTGTGATTATTATAACATGATATTCATTGATAATTTCAAATCTGACACTGTCATGACTAAGATTGTAATGGAAGTGATGATATCAGAACTAAAGCAGAAAATGGAGATTTTAAATTTGTTACCCACTTATATCGGAAGCAGATTCAATGCAGAAGCTGAAGAAATGAGTTAAAAGAAAGTAGATTTTATAAACAAAATAACACATTGTCGAGTCATAATCAGTCTTTTTGATTTTAGCTAAAAACAATGCTTAGCTTTAATCTGCCTACATCTCCATGCATAATACATTTTCCCTACGAAAAACAACGAATAAGTTAAACCATGTTACCAGCAAAGGCGTAGGTCTTCCGTCTAAAAATGTGTAATCTGGACCATCGAGGAGTACTCCTTCTGCATTACGATTAACAGGTAACCCTTTTGATATCCGCCATTCCTTTGTATTGGCAATTGAAGAACAGGAGAAGGCTCTACACAGCACTAAAATGATTAATAATATTACAAACACTGCCCAAATATTTTTTTTATTCTCTTAAATATCCTTAGAACTCAATTTTCAGAACAAACTGCACTTGCGATTCTGAAGTCTGAATAAATTTCAAAGTTCCTTTTGGTGTTATTAAAATACTACCTGTGGTACTACCTACCTAACAAAAATATCATCTGCAGTAACTTTTTACCATCAAATGTAATTTAATCAATCGTTTTTCAGATATCGCAATACTTACGATTTCGTTGCATGTTAATTCTGTTTATCAATGAGATCGTCATTAATTTATATATTTTGTCAAGTTTACAATTATAAGGATATACACAAGCACCGCAGGCCAATAAACGATTTTATTTAACTATTTTCTTTTTTGCGATTGTTTGTTTGTAAGAAGAAAGAATATAACCTACAATTTTTTATAACAATGTATCTTATTTTATTTATTTCAAAATATCATCTTATTTTGAAAAGTCGTAAGTTTATAATCGAATAAGCCAATATGAATGACATATTACCTTACTTACTCATTCATTATCCTACTAGGCAATTTTTTATCGTTTTAGACAAAAGAACCTGAACCATGTAGCCTATTTTTCGAGCTAATTTTCGTGATATTCTTGCTTGTTAACGCAGTGTCTTAGCAATTTTATATTAATAATTTTAAAATAATAGGTACAATTAAAATTTATTTACATATTATAATATGTAAATAAATTTTATGGTAATGATGACACTATCATTACCCTCTATTTAGACTGTGTGTCCTAGATCCCTATGCTTCTTTTAAAACAATGAAATGGTATGGATAACCAATGAAATTGTATTTTAAATGTAATTCACAGACTTAGTAGGTATCAGACGACCAACTTCCTAACAAAAAAATTTCTTCGTAGAGCGTGATTGGGAGCCAGTGATACATGACAGCATCATTCGTTTTAAATATATAGATCTACTATCGGCAAAGGCATTTAGCTATACAGCCCTGTTTTGGGTAGGTACCTAGCCGTCTTCCTAGTTTCCACATTATTTTTACTTTAATTTAAATTCCTTTTTTGTTTTAATACAACAATAACAATAAAGCAGACTGATAAGTCTAGCTTATTATTATTGTTGTATTAAAACAAAAAAGGAAAAACGAACACGTAAATGAAACACACATTTTTCCAATATTATTTATTGAATAATTTATTTTTTAACTTATTATATTTTACACAGTTTTCTTCTGCATTCTCGGCAATTCTTAGCTACATTTTTTTAGTGGCACAACTTTATGAAACTTTTCAAGGTAATCACATTTTTTTTAAAGAGGGCACTGATATTTTTTTATACACTTATTTAAGTTTTTCTAAAATTTCAATTGCCTTTGGCCAGAAAGAATGTTGCTCTTTTCCTTTATGCTTTTTTTGTTTATCGATGCTCCATTAACACTATCAAATAATTGGTAAAAGAATGAAACAACTTCAGCTGTATTTCTTAATGTTGTGCTGACGGGCCTGCCATCCACATAAGTTGCTGCAAATTAAAATATTCATACAATAATTGTATGAAACTTGATTCAAAACTATTAACTGTTAGTAAATTTCATCTAATACTCACAGAAATTTGCAGTGTAAGACAAAGCTGCAGACATATTTTTACACATTTTTTTACCTGCAAAAAGAGATATTATATTTAAAATTATCTTCATTAGAGAATCATTATTGTAATTTAAGTGTAAACTATATTAACTACTTGTTACATAATTAAAAATACAGGTCACTGAATCAACACTTGCTCTGATAGAGAATATAGAAGCTGAATACAAATTATTTCTTTTATTTATACTAATTTAAGTTATACTAATATAATAACCAATGCATTACCTTCATCATTTTAATTTTATCAGGTATAACTCATTAGTCATTTAATTTATGACGTAGCCCAGCTTAATTAGCAGCCAAATAATATCATGCCATTTTGCAAGTTTAATATCCAATATTAAATTTTTTGTTAAAAAATTGTTCCTGATGCATTTTATCAAGTATGCAGAATCATAATGTTCAAATCCACCCCACATATTTTAAGAATGCCAACTGAAACAAAAATTTAAGAACTTCTTAAAACATAGATAACAATATAAAAATAGGAACCTTCACTACTTTCATTAAATCTATTAGTTTTCTTTCATATAAATATAATTCTCTGTACCAACCTGTGATTTCAATTTAAAATTTGATCACACTAAGTGTCTTCTTTTAGATTTTTGAGTGCTGATTGGAAAGCTGAGCCTTGGTCATATATTATTGCGATGGGATTAAGGTCCAATTCAACAACTTTTTCTACTACTAACTTTTATTATACGAAAGTGCTGTTTCTAATGACATCTCATCAAATATAATGGAGCATATTTTTTGGAGTTTCATTTGTCCAACTGAAAAAATAAATTCAAATAGGTAGGTACATATTATTATTTGGTAGTAATACAAAAAATTATAAAAGTATAATGAAAAATCTTATGTAGAATATATTTACCTCTTACATGAAGCCTGGTTCTATGATTGATTTTCTAATCATAGTATTCAATGTAGTTTTGGATGATAAAATAAAAAATTTTGCTTAAAAATCAATAACACTTTGGACTCTGCTTTGATATTGATAAAGCAATTATCTTTTCTTCGGTAGTGAATCACCTCTCATGTTTATTTTTAGAGCACATGCTCACTTGCATTTCAAAAACGTTTTTTGCAACTGTGTTCATTTTTTGTCGGAACTTTTCAAATGATAACTTTTTACAAAACTTAACGGTATTTAAGTATTCTTAACTTTATTATGAAAGTTCAACTACGTCTTTGGCTTGTTATATTCTTCATAAATTCTCTGGTATAAAGGTGACAATTGGCTTTATTTGGTAATAAGCCTTTTGTTTGGGTACATTTCACAGGGTCTGTAACATCAAAAGTATTCAGTGAATTTCTCTATTAGAACTACTATTTGATTGAAATAAAGATACACTAAAGAAAGAGACAGGTCTTACCAGATAATTTAGTTTGTGTCATATTTTAATCTCCAGAGCAAGCAACTAATTGAGTAAACTCAGTGGCTGCAGACACGAGAGTCTCAATTTGTTATTTTAAAATTACACCACCTATGAAATCAATATTATGTGTGTAAGATTAAAAAACAGGATATAATCTTAGATGATATTAGAAATATGTTATTTATATTATCAATTTATTCTCTGATCAAAATCACTTCTAGCGTGCCCGCTAGAATTAAGTAACTTGAATGTCATTTTTCTTTATGTGTGTAAGCAAAAATCTATAAAATACATAAATAAATATATTAAAATACACCAAAACTGCAGCATGAACTTTGTTATCTAAATAAAATAAATTAAAAACAAACCTCTGTTCAGTTCTACTTTCTAATATGTGTGGTCAACATGACTTTTTCTTGCATAGCTGTGTTCCCAAGTGAATATAATTTCTGTAATAACAAAAAAATGTAATGAAGAATAGCGGTATTCCAAAACACAACATAAAGTGAAGATACATATCATTTTAATTACATTATCTAAAGGTAATAGCAGATTAAACCAGCCTTACCAGTATTGCTTGAAGAGGGTAGGCTGATTGAGAGCCCATCATCATTAAACAATGACGGATATGCGTCACCCAAGAGTCATGATTTTGGAGTAATGAATCTTGGTACGTGTTTGCTACAAATGACACTTCTGCCTGTATTCAAATTTTCAGTATCACACACAACACTAAGACATTGTAACCACTTGGAGAATCTTTTCTCGTTCACTAGAATCTTACAAAGAATAGCGTCCTGTTCGTACTTTAACAATGCGTGTAACACAACCATAACACAACACACCAATTTCCTAGGCATCTTCTACAAAGAAAAATACTTCGAAAAAAGGAGAGTTTATATTACAAATAAAGCGAAGAGAATAAGCACAAACGAAACTTTACTCAATCACTCGTAATTCACTGATATGTAGGTACATACTTTAGTCTTCTTCTTCTTCTTCTTTTATTAATGGCATATCTGCGCATTTCACACAATTTTGCCAATGTGAAGTGAATGAATTAATTCCAACATGTAAAATGAAAATGAAATGAATTAAAGACTAATTAAAACATTAGTATTAGTACTCTTAACATTAGTACTCTTTGTTGTAATGACAGTTTCTGTCAGATGTCATGTCTTCATCTACTGACAGGGGTGAGGGGCGTGTGGAAATGTCATACATCACTGGACCCCTACGCGATTGGTTTCTTGTACGGAGTTGACGGGCCGTGATGTAATTGTCCAATAGCATTCACCTTCATATTTGCAATGAAAACACAACGAGCAATCAACGGGCAAGGTGATCAAACAGCAACTACGAAATAGAGGTGTGCTATCAAAAAACATATCGATGTTTTATCAGATCTATATTGATATATTAAATTAAGCATATCGGATATGTTTTTAAAAATTTTTAAAAAGAAAATGGTAAATATTTTCCACCACCTGTATTAAATATGTAATATTATAGTAAATAAACAAAATATTTTTGTTAAAATTAATTCTTGGTTAAATCACTATACAAGAAGCATTTAAAACCACTCTCCAAATTTTAGTATGTTAATCTTTACGACAAATAATGAAATACGTGTTTTTTCTTTTTATGTCGTTTAGAACAAAAATGTTGAGTTATATCGTCACCAAGTTATTTTCAAAAAACATACATTTGTGGACGCTCCCGCTGCCCAGTACGTGCGCTTTACGCGCTACGTTAGTTCCCCCCCCCCCTCCCTTCCCGCAATTCATTGATAGTAATACAAGTACGTTTGCGAGTTAGTAGCAGCTACCTAAAATGTTTTCGTTTTTTTATGCTAGGGCAAATGGTACATAAAGTTGAAACCTTTCCTTCATACTTTTACGGGCTTAGGACCGTCAAATTGCAAAAATTCTATTAGATACCTACTATTACAATAACTACACTGCTTTAAATTTATAAATAAGTAGGTAAGCAAATATCAAGTTACCTAAAATTCTGTTTAGTTAAACCAATAATAAAAAAAGTAGGTACTTAACTAGATATTCTTTGCAATCAGGCGTATTTAAAAAATCATCAACTTTATGTACATAATCAACTAATCACTTTATCCTACCTAATTTAACTATTTACCTACGTATACTTTAATAATTGTTCAAAGTGCATACCGTTCCTCTCCACACAGAGTCTTGCACGTTTTTGCACATTGTCTTTTAATTTGGCGAGCACTACAGTGTCATTTTTCACGTGGTCAAATGCCGCACTAATTTGCACTTTTAAGTCCTCGAGGCTTTGTGCTTCTTCAAAATACACACGTCTTTTGATTTCACCCCACAAATAAAAGTCGCACGGTGTTAGGTCCGGCGATCGAGCAGGCCACACGATGGGGCCTCCGCGTCCAATCCATCGATCACCATATTCTATGGTGAGATGATCTCGGACGGCGGCGGCGTAATGGGGTGGTGCACCGTCCAGTTGAAAATAAAAATCCCGGAAGTAGGCCACGGGCAAGTCCTCCATGAAATCGGCAATGACATGCCGCAACATATCCAGGAAGTTGCCGCCGGTGAGCGGCCCTTCGATGAAGTACGGCCCCAGTATTTTCGTGCCTATAACACCGGCCCACACATTGACACTAAAGCGCACTTGATGGTGGGTTTCCCGAATCATATGCGGATTTCTGAAGGACCACCAGTGTTCGTTATGATGGTTATAAAGCCCCACACGAGTAAACAATGCTTCGTCAGTCCACAAAATGTTGGCATTAGGGTGTGCAATCAGCCATTCACAAAAGGTGCGACGGGGCACATTATCTCCATCGTGTAGAGCTTGGACCTTTTGGAAGTGGTAAGGGTGTAGCCCTGTCACATTCAGCAGCTTCCACACGGCATAGTGGCTTACGTTAAATCGGCGTGCGGCATCTCGTGTACTGGCTCGCGGGTCCCTTTCGAAGAAATCCAAGATTTCATCTTCGATTTCAACTACAAGTCTTGATCTTCCACCTCCGCGAGCGTGAGCAGGCGTAGTAAATTGACCATAGTCCAATAGCCTTTGGTTCACAGCCAAAAATGTCTCGCGACTAGGTACTGCGTGGTTTATTAATCCCTGATTTTGCAGGGCTGGGATGGATTCTGTTTCGTATAGTCTCCGAGCTGCATTTAAACTTTCACCGCTTAAAATGTAACACCGCACCATTTCGTAATATTCGCGATTGGAATACATTCCGACGCGCGAAGTGTGGGGCTGCGGCGGGTGGCGCGCAACACGGAAGCAAAGGCGGAAGCGCGTGCGTTCAAAGGGATTGTGTGCGGGTGACTGATGTTGCCGACTAAATAAAAAACCGAGCAGATATCGTCGGCGGTGCATGCGCGGCGCATGCGCGGCGCATCCCCTGCGCCCGCGCCCCTTGCTACCCCTGCTCGTTTCGTTCATAACTAATGTGACAATGCGAATGTTATAATTATCTTGTAATTACAAAAAGTTTACACTTCATTTTGAAAATTTTACATACTGTTTTTTTTTCATATATGTGATCTATTAACGATACCTAATGCCTAGAAAAAATTTGGAGAGTCATTTTAAATGCAGGCGGTATATTAAAAGACACCTTATAAATAAAAAACTGTCTGGTATGTCTGTATGTATGACCAGTTTAGGCTAATCTCAAGCCCCACCATTGTTTTTTTTTTATATGAATTTCGTATTATTTGCTTTAAGTATTTTTTCCTGGTTTTGGTTTGGATGGTCTGGATAGTGAAGAGACTAAAAAAAAATATTTTACTAGTCTCTATTAATTTTGTAATATATAGTGATGTGAAGTAGTTCAATTTGATTTATTTGTAATGAAATTTCAATGTGACTGCATTCAGAATGTTTTATTTCAAAATTTCTTCATTAAGACTTTTAAGATTAAAATTTTATATTGAATTTTTCAATATAAAAAGCCTGATTAAACAATGATAATTTAATTGAAAAATATTTTTCGGCTGACACTACAGTCTCAAACGCGATCGATCGTTACTTTTGTTTTGAATATAATAATGTTTTTAAATAAAATTTTAAAACTGTTGTTATAGGACATGAGATTGACGTTCTAAATTAATTTCAAAGATTCAAAACTGTAATTATTATAATTTCTAAAGTAATATTTTTGAATTGAGTCTGTAAATGAAAGATTATACACCTAGGACACATAATTTTTGTCTTGTTTTCGCACAACCAATCATTCTGACATTATCCTTCTGCTCTTTTCATCTTTTTCTCGTTCATACAAAGTATCATTCACAACTTGCAGGAAGTCGCTAAAATAATTCGATTTTGGATTCATATAAATAATTAAATTATATAATTTTAACATATATATATTATAAACAAAAAGTGACATTCACGGACATCTAGACTTTTAAGGAACTTATTCATAATCGAGTAACAGTAATATTTTTAGATATATATAATTAAGAATGAAATTTTCATTAAAATTTCTATAAGTATCGATCCGTTCATATAATATCGAATACGAATCGATAATTTGAGGCGATATTTGTATTGATTGAAATACTTACTTGATTCAAATATAGAGCGGAATGCTATGATGGTATTAATTCATTAATTATTTGGATCTTTATCAGTCATCTTGGTAAGTAACCTCAACAAAAGATGAAATGGATAAATATAATTTACTGTTGAGAAATTTATATTTTTGTTTGTTGCATAAATATTTCAAATATTGTGGTGTAATGTTATAATCCGAACTCATATATAATCAATTTTTATCCCTTCGTGGTACTCCAAATTCTTAATTGTGATTAATTCTTAAGTGGTAACACTGTATCGGAAGATACAGTGCGCTTCAATCGAAGGCATCGGAGTTGGTCGAACAGCCGTCTACAAGGTTGAGCGTATAGACGGCGTACCTATTATGTGGATAATACTTTGTATCCAGGAAAATGCCCAGGAGTTTTGGTCGAATGTTGGCGTTGCTTAGCCAGATTGCCTGAACATTGATGAAAATACGGTCTGTAGTAGCGAAAAAGTAACAAGTGCTTAAAAAAATCGTTAGTGCTGTTAGATCCTGAGTATCTCAGTCATTAGGCCAGTCGCCTATTTTGCAAAAAGTCATAGGTCCGAATCCCATCTCTGAGTGCCAGGGACAAAGTACATTTTTTAAGCAATTTTAATTAAGAATATGTTTGCATTTTTATGCGCGAGCGGTCGGTTAACTGCGCGGAGTATTATGGTGTTGCGTTGATTGTTTGCTTAATTGTTAGCAACAATAGAATAATATCAATGAGGAAGTATTAAAAAAAAACATTAGTTCCCGAAATCAAACTAGATGTCGCCACGGTACGTTCTTGATTTCTCCATGACAACCTTTCCGGTTTTCTTTCAAGTAAAAAAGGAAATTCGTTTTCAAAACTCAATAAACAACTCATAATCTATTTGTACTTTTTCGTCTTTGTATTGATATTTTGGAGATGGCTGGGTGTTGAGGTATCTCCGATGTTTTGGAAGGTGTGCAAAAGGAGGTGAAATAATTACTACGGTTTCGTAATAAATATCGGCGCGTGAGCATACGAGTATGTTGCGTATCGATCCGAACGACATGCGCTTCGCGTTGTGGTCAGTTTATCACTGTCGATCGGAGGGTCGCGCGCCGCCGGACTACCATTTGAATGTAAAGGAATACGTATAAAAACTCGAACAATAGAAGTGCGTAAGGCGGCTACTATACCGCGCCAAGCTATGTTCGTGCGTTATAATGCTATGCCAAAGATTTTATTAGATTACGTTCTTACTTATTTTCTTGCTTATTATGTGTGTATTATATTTAGATTTTATTTAATAAATATTTGTTATACTGTAAATATATAGATATAAGTTTTTATTAGGTTTTAGAATGTAAGTTGTAAATATTAGTGTAAGTTAATTTTATTGTATATTAGTTTGTAAGTATAAATTGTAATATTATAATGGTAATAAAAATAATAGATATGATGTGGGTTGCCACAATATCTTGGTTTCAAACTGTTCAAAGTTCAATTGTTTAATATGTTAATTTAAAGGAACGGAAATTACTGTCTTTGGTTCATTCATTTCCTGCAAAAATCAACTTTTCCTAGAGTCGCCATCTAGTGGAGGTGCTTTTTAGTGCTTTCATTTTTTTTTAATACTTCTTCATTGAAATCGACTTTTATCGACTAAGCTGAACAATCGAGTAATTCGATTTTTTAAAGTAACAATCGCTCATCGCCACTACGAAATGGAAAACAAACCAGTTTGATTTCAAAAGGAAAACTCGGGGAAAGCAATAGTGTTTTCGTGTTTTTGTGACTATTTATTTCAGTGATAAACAGATATCATATACGAAAGTATTGTGATTTTAAAGAAGTCTTGCGTGCGTGAACATATCGCAGGTAAGGGTCTAAAAGCGGCTGGGTGTCGATATTTTCTTTAAAATTTTCAAAACAGATCGATCATTTGTTGCGCCATTCATCTAGCACCTTCTATCGAAATTTCCACAGCTATACATAATTTTTTATTTCAAAGTTTATTATATTGCTACAGTATGTAAATCTTAGTTTAGTTTATTGTGAAAGTGTACTCGTGTGTATTTTCCCATAACTTGCTACCACATTTCATCATACTTCTTTGAAATAGGTCTTTTTCAAGGTATTGTCATATAGGGAAATCCCTTGTTTCTGTTTGGAATATTATATGAAATTTTCAGAGCAAATTAATAACATTAATAATAAATTAAGTTATATTGATATTTTAAGTGGTATGTATTTAAATTTTTCCTTAATTAAATTGACTTGTTTATTATTCAGACCTGACGTATTTGTCTTTTAAAACACCGACAAAACATATGTTAACATAATCAGCACTCTAGATAAAGACAATGAATCATTCATTTGAGAGACCTTGCTGAAACTCACAGTTCACTATTTTATTTATTTTATCAATAAAATTAGTGAAAAATAGGCATTTGCAACTCCCTAATAGTTATATTTATTTGTTTCTCTTTCCAGCTTCATCTTTTTGTGATACTGTTTAAGTGTATCTGTAAAAACGGCCACTGAAAAGCTTAGTACTTCTGATCAGCCGAACTACAACACAATGTGTATGTATAATTTTTTGTTACATATCTAATTTTTATATATTTTTCTACAGTGACTATCTGATGATGTGGCAGAACCCAGGAGTATATCCAGGAGGTTAAATATTTGATTAACCTATTTGTGTATGTTACCCCTTGTTATGTTGAAACATAGGTAATTTAAGACCTCTTACAAAACTATTAAACACAGCATAAGCAATGATCGGCAGTGCCATACAATTTTTTTATGTTAATATAGTCATGTTCACTGCCCTGAACTGTATTTTTATATGACTAATAGAACAAAATTTTGGACTTTTAAATATTTGCCGATCTTTATAAATCAATTTTATTTATAATGAAGTCTTAGATTGCCTTTAATTGTACACAACTAGCACTTAGCACTTTTTTAACCACAAATACAGATAAAATTTAGTTTTTGTCCTCTATTCATATTTTATGACTATCTCTTAAATCATTTTTTATATTAAACTGCAAAATAAATAGGTAAACAATACTACCAAATAAATCTATATACCTAATCACAATTCAAACATTGTTTTTGTTTTCTGTAGACACTTAAATATCATACTTTCTAGAAAACCAATTCCCTTTGTTGTAAGCCATGCTATTGCTATGCAATATACCACTAATGTATGTACACCAATACAATGCCATGCTAAATACATCAATACAATGCCATATGACATGCTAAATTGACATGTTTACCACTATCAAATTTAGAAATAAATTATATACCAGTTGAGATGTATATATTATATATCAATATCATATTGACTGTCCAACAGGAGATAGAATAGTTAAATTATGGTCATTCTCAACTAAATATAAATCAAAAGTACATATCCCATTCTTGTGACACGGTTTTATTAACCATACTCCACTGAAATGGCTTGACTGGTTTTGATGGAGTTTTATATTCTCAGACTCACTACAGATTGTTATCTAAGTGATTAGGGTGGTCCCGTTCAAATTTGTATATCAAAGTTTTCCAGTACAACTAGTGTATTATTAATAATACATTAATTACCTTTTCGATAATGCACTCTTCTCACAGTGGTTATGGTAGGTCTAATAGTGTACAAAGTTATAGGTACGCTTTCTCACTAATTATTCTTTGGTCTACCTGACCTGAATCACTTCTCCAGCAATGTCTTTCCATTTCTGTCAGTTTACTGCACTTGATTACCTTTCTTGTGAATACTTTTTCTTATTAAAGACATTTTTTTCAACTTTTCGTGTTTTTTCTTTCATTGTTGTTTCTGATATCTATGAATTGAATGTTATGTTACTTCACATAATACAATCAGTGGATGTACTGTGACTACATGAATTTCATCTAAATGTCATTGAATTCAGTGTTCTCTTAACATTAACTAGGATGCAATATATTTAGTGATACTTATAAATTTAAATCTAATAATGCATGCCTTGCAAACTGTTCATTTTCAATAATGATAATACACCACACAGTGCTTGAATGTTATCTGTATTATTTCTTGTAATGACACATTGACAAAACCCCAGTGAACATAAATAACCATCTACTATTTATTACTCAGCACCTTGTATCCTGTTGTATTTATTAGTTTTTCCTTTGACTCTGAATTCTTTTGTAAATTGTAGCTGTCTTTAACTTATAACATTATTTATTGATAACGTTAATATGCTACATTTTTTTCTAAGAATGGTTTACATATTGTATCCTCCAGTAATTTTATATCATTAACTATGTAAATCTAAATCTTTCTCATGCAATATTCTGTTCATTAGAGAAACCCTTGTGAGAGAACCACAAAATTTGACTGTGTTTTATCATATATGTAGTTACACACGGCATCATGTCAAGCTATCATTTTAATTTCTTTACTTAATAGGCTAGAGTAATTTTACAGATTTGAGTAACTTGATGTGCTATTGGCTCTATTTACTGATGATATATAATGGTGATAGGTACTGTTTCAAAATGAGTATTGCAACATATTTTGTAAGATGATACAAAGCATCTGGTGTGAGTGGTGAATGCTTGTGTTGGCGATATGTATACATTTCTCACGTTACGCAATTAGTTCCTCACACCATACAGATCATAAAGACCTTGTAATAAGGTACCTCCATGCATCCAATACAATGACAAAAATACCCAAGCCAATTCAAAAGAAGTTGTTAGGAATTGATCCAGTACAAATGGATTGAGAAGAAATATATATGTATGGTATCTAGCTGTTTATTTTACAATATTCCTTATTTTTTTACACAATTTTTAAAAACTTATCTGAATTACTGCGGGTGATATCAATAAAACATTATCAGACAAAATCTAATGTTTAACGTTTTTGGGAAAGAAAATTAAAACTATAACTAGATTGTACATTGTATTGTAGAGAAACCTGTAGCTAGAGGTTTGTATAAATAGAAAACGATGGACCAGTAAAACGTTATAGTTCTGTGGTATGAAATAAACGGACAAATCAATTAACTAAAAAAATAATAATAATTTATTAATTTAGGTTACCATTACCATAACAGGCTTTGCCACATGCTATGACAATTCTAACGACTAGAAACCTGTTTTAGTGCGGTTAAATATTTTATTTAATGAAAACCAAAAAAGAAGATCGGCCCTTTTATTATAGTTTATGTGAAAGTCGTTAATGTTAAGAGATGACAAGTTTATTGCGAAAAGACTTCCAGAATGGGTAGAAGATAAAAAATGTTCAACGATTCAAATAAGTTTAATTGAATAAAGGATATTTATGCGGAAGTTCGTGATGTGTTTGTGATAATTGATGTATGTATTTCTATTACTCTTTCGCGTTAAAACTTCTGAACGGACTTTGATGAATTTTAGTATACCTACCGATGATTATAAAGCGATATGAGATATTCAAATTATAGGATAATAAGACCACGACTTTCGTTTTCAAAATTACCTATTATTTTTTTTTTTCACTCGTACAATCATTGGAACTCCTGATCTAAATCCTGACCACACTAACAAGGCGTGGTGATGATGGGAGCCATTTCAATACGAGAATAAAATTCATGTAACAATTGTGCCTACAGTTATTATTATCAGTAGATACCTATACGAACACGAATGATGTGTACTTTCTAAAATTAGCCAAGTCTTTGTTCAATAAAATGACTTTGGCAAATACACCAAATAATAAGTATGACTTTGTCTAGGTATACTCGGGATAGTTTATAGAAAAAAATAGCGGAAAATAAAGGATCATAGTATTTCAGAGTACTATATCACCAATAATCAGCCGTTTAACCAAATTTATTCCGGTGTTTGCAGATATACATATATTATTACAATGTTTTTCATTGAATTCGGGTTATTGATCTGAAACATATGTACGTTAATATAGACGTTCCTTCGGTATTGATTCATTATTTTTTCCGGAACTTAGGTTGGAAATGTACTGAAAAAAGATACTAATGTAACTACCTACCTGTCGAACATAAACATTTTCGAATTTGAAGTCTAAAACATAAAATAAAAAGCATCAGAAAATGTTTCGATTTAAATCCCATGTCTGGGTTCGGACCCCCCAATTCAACCACACCAGATACTAATAACAACTATGATCCTAAACACGTCGCTTCCTTTTAGTCGCAATGAACATAATGAATGACCTCACGTTTGGAGCGCGCGTTTGATCTCCTAAAATGGCTTAAAAACCGGCCCAAGTACGAATCGGACTCTTGCGCGTAGGGTTCCGTTACATAATTTAAATATTAATTCTGCTTTTTACTATTTGCTGTTGAAACGGCAACAAAAATATATCATCTGTGAAAATTTTAATTATCTAACTTTCACGGTACATGAGATAGAGCATGGTGACAGACAGACAGCGAAGTCTCAGTAATAGGGTTCCCGTTTTACCCTTTGGATAGGGAATCGTAAAAGACCAAGTGTTATACTCTAATGCATAGGTATTATACCTCATGCAAATGGAGTTGTTACCTTTACGGAAGTCTATCGCAATAATAATTATATTGTAAGTCAAATATCGACAAATAGGTTCGCGGCTGATTGATATATTTTGTTATATTCAACTAGTCTTTTTTTATTAAACACATTCAGAATGCGCTTATCGTTGGAAAATAAATCTTACTAAAATGAGACGAAATCGCGAAAATGTCTGGCATATATACAGATTTTTTTTATACTTTATCGGTTAACGCTTACTACTATCCCACCTGATGGTAAGTGGTGATGAAGCCTTGGGTGGTATAGCGCATTAACCTAGTAACAGCCTATTAATTAAGCATATTCATTATAATTAATTATTGACTAAAAGTTATTCATTTCGTGAGTGTAAAAAAATACAAAGAGAATGTTGTTATGTTGCAACGTAGTAAAAGATTTCTTTACCTAGTTATTATTTATTATCACAGATTATTTACACTTTGTTTGTTTAGGTCACATACATTACATTTTGCTTATTATTGACTTTATTCCCCTCTCCAATTCGGTAGTGATTCATTTTATGAGTGTAAAAAAATGACAAGGAGAATGTTTTATGTTGCAACGTAGTAAAATTACACTTTGTTTTGGTCGCAAACATTACATTTTGTTTATGATTAACTTTATTCCCCTCTCAAATTCGGTTAAAATGCGATCGCAAGTGTATTTAAATAATATAGTGCATAGGTGTATCGATTAGAGAAATCCAGATTATAACATTGAAGTAAATCAACGTAATCGTATCCGTGCCGTACTTGGACGCTCAATGCAACTTTTGCTTTGTGAAAAAAAGATGAAATTGAACAATTATGTCGTTTTTATTTATTTCTTGCAATTAAAACTGATGTTATAGGATTTGCTGGTAAACAACAAACATAGACTGTCTTATAAAAATACGATAAATACGACGTTTTATTTTCTAATATTGACAATTTGCTATAAGCGACCAATGGGTTAAAAACTAACTTGGTTCTAGTTTTAAAATAAGGTTGGTGGTAGCAGGGATAATGTTAGTAACAGATTT